TGCAGTGCCACCATCCCATAAGGATGCCAGTTTGATTCCTGGCTTCTCCACTTCTGATCTAGCTTCCTGCTGATGAACCTGGAAAATCAACGGAGGATGGCCCAGGTCCTTGGGCTTCTGCACCCACCCGGGAGACCTGGAATAAGCTCCTGCTCCTGGCTTCAGATCAGCTCAGCTACAGCCTTTGCAACCATCTGGGAAGTGAACCAGCAGATGGAAGCCCTCTCCCTCTCTATCTCTACCTCTCTCTATATCTCTGTCTTTCAAATAAATAAAGTAAATCTGAAAAAAAAAAAAAAGAAAGAAAAGCAGTCTCATTCACAATAACCACAAAAAATCAAATATTTAGGAATAAATTTAGCCAAAGAAGTGAAAGATCTCTACAATGTAAATTGAAAAACAATGATGAAAGTAAACATCAAGGGCACAGAAAAGTAGTAAGATATTCTTTGCTGTTGGATCAGAAAAATTAGTATCACTAAAATGCTTGTATTATCTAAAGTAATCTACAGATTCAGTGTAATCCCTATCAAAATACCAATGACACTGTTAACAGAGTAAGAAAAAACATTCCTAAAATTCATATGAAATCAAAAAAAAAAAAAAAAAAAAAAAAAAAAAAAACCATGAGAATAGCCAGATCAAACATGAGCAAAACGAAATCGAGCTTGGAAGCATCACGAATACTGGCAGTGACGTGGACAAAGGGGAACTGTTATACACCATTCATGGGAATATAAGTTAGTGTAGCCACTATGAAAAACAGTATGGAGATTCCATTAAAAACTAGAAATGGGGAATAGCATCATGGTATAGCAGCTAAAACCACTGCCTGCAATGCCAGCTTCCCACATGGGCACCAGTTTGTGTCCCAGGTGCTCCACTTCCTATCCAGCTCCCGGGAAAAGCAGGGGAAGGTGGCCCACATGTTTGGGTTCCTGCCACCCACATTGGAGACCCAGATGAAGCTCCTGGCTCCTACCTTAGGCATGACCAAAGGCTGGCTGTTGTAGCTGTCTCAGGAGTGAACCACTGGGTAGAATATATATATATATATATATATATATATATATATATATATATAGGGGCTGGCGCTGTGGCACAGTGGGTTAATATACATATATATATATATATATATATATATATATAGTCCTCTCCTTCTTTACCTCCCTCTCTCTGTAACTCTGACTTTCAAAATAAATAAATCTTTTAAGAAACAAAAACTGGAAATGGAGCAGCCATGTTGATCCAACAATTCCACTACTGAGTATGTACCCAAAAGACACAGACTCATCAAAGAGTTAACTCCTTCACCATGTTTATAGCAGCACTGTTCACAGTAGCCAGTATATGGAATCAACTAAGGTGTCCATCAACAGATGAATGGATAAAGAAAATGTGGCATGTGTACACATTGAAATACTATTCAACTAAAAAAAGAATGATTCCTGTCCTTTGTTCGCAGCAAAATAGATGGAACTGGTGGACATCATGTTGAGTAAAACAAGCCAGACAAGAAAGACAGATACCATATTTTCTCCTTTATATTTGGGAGCTAAATTTAAAAAAAAAAAAAATCTGAACGCAGAATGTTGATTGCTAGAGGCTGGGAATCCAAAAAGATTTTTGTATTAAAACAATAGAGGAACTTGGGTGTGGTTCATTATTGGTGACAAACATATTAATATGAGATGTTAATAGAGGTCATGGGGTGAGGTATATTTGGGAACTCTTTGTAAAGATTAAGTTTATGGAAAAAAAACTTTACACCAAAATAAATAAAAAGATTTTGAAAAAAGTATTTTGATTAACATTATTAGTAGTTAGCTTTAGTATTCATAAATACCTCCATATTTGAAAACAGTTTATAGAATAGATTTTTCTTATTTTGCTTGACTTCTTAAACATAACTACCCAAATTATCTAGCCTTCAGGGCCTTGTTTTCATGATATAAATCTCTCCTGTAGCTGTAGACCAGCTCTCATCACCATAAAAATAAATTATTTAATTGAATAAAATACTTCAGATGAAATTTTGAAGGTGGATCTTGACATCATCACCTGCAAAATAGCTCAGAATTTGTTTCCTTTCAACTGTCTGCAGCCACAACCCTAATCCAAGTCATCTCCTCACTTGGTACCTAGGTCGCAGCCCTTCATCAATCATCCTGTTCTTCTTTTTGCATTTCTCAGTACAGAACCTACCTAGCAACCAGAACAATCTTTTTGAGCTTCTGGTGCTGACCAACACGGAATAACTGGTTTCAAATTCATCATCTCATCATAAACAACTAAAGAACAAGAAACATGAGGCTTTATTTTAAGACATCAAACAATAGCCCACACAGGACTGGTGATCTTTGAGAAGGGAAACAAGATGAGTCCCAAAATGTCCAAAGTTTTGCCTGGGAGCAGTTTCCTGCTGCGTTGCTAGGAGGTGATACCCAAGCAGAGTGATGATGTGGCTGAGTTAAAGAAGCAGTGACCCTAGTTCTGGACTGAAGTGTCCCATTGCTTACTGTGCACCTCTGGCCTTTCTGATATTCAGACACACCCAGGTGTTCCCCACCCGAGATCTTTGTAATCAGCCCTCAGTCCAGAGCAATAATCCTGTTCCTCCTCACAGACCTGGCTCCTTCTCATTCTCCAGGTCTTAAATTTCACCTGAGAGACAGTGCTTCTATACACTCCACCAAAAGTAGATCCTCCTCCCCAGTCCCCATCATTCTCTGTGTCAGCACCTTTTTTACTGCTTGAGAGCATGTACTACAATTGGTGATTGTGTATTTATTTTGGTATTTATCTGTTTTTCATCATCTACTGCATTAGCAACATGTAACCTCCACTTGGCACAGAGACCCTATCTATTTTTTCTTCCTGTGTACCCAGTGCTTAACAATTAGGAGTGCTCAGTAAGTACTGGTTAAGTAGATGAGTTTCCAGCTCTAAGATAAATGACTAAGAAAGGAGTAACTAATTCACTCCTATGTCATGCCACACAGATTTTCCCCAGTGATGTCTGTTTTGTTCTTCCTTCAGTGAATAGATATTCCAAGTAGGTATTTCTTTTCAAAAGAAAATGGAAATTGAGGAATAATAAGTTCAGAACCAGTAGATCTAGAAAAACACTACATAGTGGAGTTAACCTCCCTTTCATCTTGGGTGGGTTTTTTATTTTAATTTCTACTTTTAGATTCTAATCCATATCATTTTATCCCTGCAACATTATGCTAATCAGTCACTTTCCTGGCTTTCTGTCTCAGCAAAGAAGATATTGAAGTTTGCCTGAGTAAGCACTATACTGTTGGCTATGTCAAGGCAGGAACAATGCTTTATCAGTCTTCGTGTCCCTAGCACTTAGTGCACTGCATAGTATGTAGTGAACTCTCAGTAAATGGGGAATGAATTGAGTGTCTACAGTTTGCCAGATGTTGGAAGAAATCCTGCAGTATTTTTTTCAAAGATATGACATGATTTTTTCTGAACACTTCTATATATTTTTAATATTTTAATTAGCCTTAAGAGATAAACTTTGAGTCCATCAGCTGATGAGTGGATACATAAAATGAGGTAGAGCAATACAATGAAATATTATTTAGCACTAAAAAGGAATGCATTATTGATGCATGCTGCAACAAGGATGAACCTTGAAATCATTATTCAGAATGAAAGAACCAGTCACGTCAGGCCACCTATTGTATGAAATAAAATATCTTTTAAAATTAATATCTAGGGGCTGGCGCTGTGGCACAGTGGGTTAATGCGCTGGCCTGAAGCGCCGGCATTCCCTATGGGCGCTGGTTCTAGTTCCAGCTGCTCCACTTCCAATCCAGTTCTCTACTATGGCCTGGGAAAGCAGTAGAAGATGGCTCATGTCCTTGGGCCCCTGCACCCCCGTGGGAGACCCGGAAGAAGCTCCTGGCTCCTGGCTTCAGATCAGCACAGCTCCAGCCTTTTCAGCCAGTTGGGGAGTGAACCATCAGATGGAAGACCTCTCTCTCTCTCTCTCTTGACCTCTGTCTCTCTCTGCCTCTCTTTGTGTAACTCTTTCAAATAAATAAAATAAATCTTCTAAAAATATATATGAAATATCTAGAATAGGAAAACTCACAGAGAGAGTAGATTAGTGGTTGCCTGGGAGTGAAAAGGTTGGGGGGAATGGAGAATAGTTCCTCATGGGTATGGGGTGTAGGGGAAGGATGAGGAAAATGTTCTAAAGTTGACTGAAATAGTAGGCGCCCAATTCTGTGAGTATGCTTATTGCCTCTGATTGGAGTATATACTTTGGATGGGTGAGCTGTGTGGTACACACAGCCGAAATTGTGCCGGAGTAAAACTGTATTGAAAAAAAAAAATAAATGAAAAACCCTTGAATTTTCTCTTAATACCTAAAGAGGCTAACTAAATGCTGAATATTTGTTGCAATCTTGGTTTGATTAATATTATTTATTTATTTGAGAAAAAAACAGAGTTTCTACCCACTGTTTCACTCCCCAAATGCACACAAAGAGCTGGGCTGGGCCAGGACCTGGGCTGGAGCCAGGAATGGGGAACACAATCCATGTCTCCCACAAAATTGACAGGAACGCAGTTATTGAGCCATCACCCCTGCCTCATGGGTTCTGCACTGGCAGAAGGCTGGAGTCAGAAATCAAACCCAGGCACTCTGATGTGGGACACAGGTATCTCAACCACTAGCCTAAATGCTTGCCCTGATGAATAGGATTTAGATATGAATAAATATGCATATGTTTCAATAGTGTAGACTCACAAGCACCAGTTTCTTAAGAAAAATATACACATTATAAGAAATGATAAACATTTCTCCAGCATTTTTTTTGTTTTATGAATTATTTCTCATTCAGTAATATGGAACTTTTTGAGATGGATGTCACCTCAAATGAGACTAATCATACAATTATCATTAAAAATCAGAAATATTATTAAAGAAAAATTCTAATTGTGTATTGTTTAAATTATTGTTATGTTGTGCCTCTCAGTCAGTGGAACCTACTGAAGTGAAACATGCGACTTCAACATCAGGACCAGCATCAGTACTTGCTGATCCACCCAGTACTGAAAAAGAAATAGACACTACCAGCATCCCTACTGCAATCAAGTACCAAGATGACAATTCTCTGGCCCACCCAAATGTAAGATTTGAAACCTTAAGAATGTCAGTCAAACTGTAGTTAACTGAAATCAAACTGTCCTTTTGTGCTAGCACTCAGACCATTAGAGGAAATGGTTTGTATGTTCCTGTTTGCTAAAAGTAGCCTGCTGACCCTCAGCCCTTCAGCTATTACATATATTTGAATCCAGTATAGTCCCACTCATGTTGCATAGCTTCTAGAAGTATTCTTTGTGTGGCTAAGACAAGTGGGCAGAGATTAGTTAAAAAAAAATTGCACTAAGAGTTCTAATCCCAGTTTAACTCTTTTGTTGATTGACTATGAACATGTTGCTAATGTCATATTTGGTGTCTTCCATCAAATGTTGTGATTTCACTGTATCTCTCAGGTCATCAGAAATGAAGCTCACAAACGAAAGTTATAAAATCATTAACCAATGATGTTGATGTCGATCATTTTACTACAAGACTTTCTGTGCAATATTAATCCCAAATAGATGGTCTTCATTTCAAAAGTCATCAAGAGTTAAACAGTATCCAAATCTTGTACTGAGAGATACATTATAAAAAAGCGATTTGTATCATATTAGGTCAAATGCAAGTTAATAGCAGACAATAACATGCTTTCTTTTCCTTTTCTTTCAGTTATTTGTTGACAAAGCTGATGCTGAGGAAAAGTGGTTCAAGAGATTAATTGCACTCCGACAGGAAAGGCTAATGGGCAGTCCAGTGGCTTAAGTAAATACACATGTTGTTGAATTTACAGTACCATTGAAAAGTCAGGTTTTTAAATCCCAATATTAACTTTTTACTCTTAGAAACAATTTAGCAGATGTAATCTCATTTCATTCTTCTCTCTTATAGGCTCAAATATTTGTTGATTTGATTTAAATAAAACATTGCATATAATTAATGTAAAATGTAAGAAGCATGAAAATGTAATGGTATTAATAAAGTCAAAAAAAGTCAATACTAAAATAAGTGGTACATGGTGTTTCTTATTACAATTTGAAAATGGTCAAGTTCACATTTAAAGATGTATTTTTATTAATTATGCACATTTAAAAATCAAATTTTATGCTATGAGAGTCCATCTTCCATGTATTACAAGACCATTTTTTTTGGTAACATTTTCTGTTTTTATTTTTTTTTTATTTTTGATTTTGACAGGCAGTGTTAGACAGTGAGAGAGACAGAGAGAAAGGTCTTCCTTCTGCTGGTTCACTCCCCAAATGGCCGCTATGGCCAGCACACTGCGCCAATCCAAAGCCAGGAGCCAGGTGCTTCCTCTTGGTCTCCCATGTGGGTGCAGGGCCCAAGCACTTGGGCCATCCTCCACTGCCTTCCCGGGCCACAGCAGAGAGCTGGACTGGAAGAGGAGCAACCAGGACTGTGAGGAGCAACTCGGACTAGACTAAGTTACTGGAATTAAGACTTATTCTATGCATCTGCTCTCCCACAATATGGCGCTGAAAGGGAGTAAACAACTTCTACGCTGCTGCCTCTCACCAACTTGACTGATAAGCTGCAGGAGCTGATCCTGCTCCTGATTGGAGGAGAGCAGCGTGCTCGGCGTGTGGGTAGCAGAGTTGGGATTGGTGAAAGAGGACTATAAAGGAGGAGAGAGACAACATGCACCAGGAACATCAGGATAACATCTGAGCAGCCCCCGAGAGAGCCGGCCGGCGGTGTGCCGCTCCCCTGCGGAAGTGGGGAAAGTGGCAGGGGGAGCCGCCCCTCCACGGAGGTGGAGGGGTCGGCAGCCAACCCGGGAAGGACCAGCAGCAAACCCGGGAAGGGCCGAGCAGACAAAAGAACAGCGCAGGGTCCTGTGTCGTTCCTCCGCGAATGGGGGAGCGACACAGGACAGAATCCGGCGTCCCGACCAGGACTAGAACCCGGGGTGCCGGCACCGCAGGTGGAGGATTAGCCTAGTGAGCCGCGGCGCCGGCCATAAGACCATTTTTGATTCCTGTATTTCACCTTACTAGAAATTTTTATCGCAATAAAAAGCACCCTAAATTATCTACCAGAGTAAACATGTTAAACTGTAAAGGAATAGCGTGTTTACTGAAAATTAAATAAATGGATGATTTTTGCTTAAAGATCCATTTGTGCTAGGTGCTTCTTTTTGAAACAGGTCAGCAGATTCCAGCTCATGCTTTAGAAATCACATGTTCATGCTAGACCTAACCAGTTGACCAGACACCATAATGGGGAAGTCATTTTTGAGAAAATTGGTGAGCGTTCTCACTTGAGTCTTAACCAACTGCTGTTCCCTGCAGAAGAAGCAGCTAAGTGTTCTTTTGATAAGGCTCTCAGTGTAGAATACCTTTCTCTGGTAGCAGAATGACAATCAACTATGCATTCTGTACTGAACACCCAGAGATAAAGACTTCAGACTTTGCTTTACAAAACTGATCATCGACAGCTGAGGTGACTGTTTCCCTTTACTATTTTGTTCTGTTTCCCATTCTCGTTCTTGTTGAGCCTATAAGAATACAAGATAAACATGAAAAGTCTTTGGAATAGGATTACCAACATAAAGGACATTTTAATGCTGACTTTTTTGTATTTCTAGACCTACTAAAATTCTAATCTCTGTCAAAAATGAAAAAAATAAAGAACTTAAACTCAGATACAAATGGTATGGAGAATACACCAATGTCAAATACTTGTTTTCATAAACAGATATTTTTTCATTTTAAATAGAAGTTTGTGTACTTTTTGCTTAGCTGTATCCAGTATGAATTCAGGTTTGTGTAGGTTTTAAATAGATATGCAAAATTTAATGGCTTCAAAAAGGTATTACAATTTCTAAAATATTTTATATTTTATTCTTTACATAAGGTATAAACTGTAGAAGTACTATTACTGTCTAAGAATTTGTAATTTAGAACTCAAGGCAAGAATATGGGTTGTTATTTAAGCCACTAGTGATTCTTCACAGAGAGAACCTAGACTAGGCAGTTTTCTTTTAATTAATTTATTTTATTTTGTTTGAAAGGCTGAAAAACAGAGAAATAGATTGAGAGATCTTCTATCCACTGGTTCACTCCCTAGGCTACACTCAACAGCCAGGGTGGGGCCAGGCCAAGGTCAAGAACCTGACACTCTTTCCAGGTCTCCCGCATGGATGCCAGGGACCCTTCCCAGGTGCACATTAGCAGGAAGCTGTATCAGAAGCAAAGTAGCTGGCACTGGAACCAGGAACAATATGAGTCCCGGGTGTTCCACACAGTGATTTTAGATGCTGTAGCACATTCTTGACCCACTGTTTTTCTCAGTGTGCCTAATGGTCCTCATTTCTAAAATAGTGAAAATATTATTCTCAGCTAGCTACTTTTTAAAAAATTATTTATTTTTATTGTTTATTTCAAGGGCAGACAGAGAGAGACAGATGAAGAGAAATCTTCTATCCATTGGTTTACTCCCCAGTTGCCTGCAACAGCCAAAGCTGAGCCAGGCCCAAGCCAGAAGCCAGGAACTCAATCCAGGACTCCCATGGGGGTGGCAGAGACCCAAGTACTTGAGCCATCACTTGCTGTTTTACCGTGTGTGAAGCAAGTAGCAAGACTCCAAACAGGCAGGAAGCCAAGTAGCGGGACTCCAAACAAGCAGTCGGATATGGGAGGCTGCTTTCCCAAGCAGTGACTTAACCAGCATGACAAACATCCACCCTGTCGCCTGCTTTAATTACTCTCAACACCAATATTTCTCTGTGTCCACTATCCTGAATACAGATGCTCTAATTGCAATAGATTCATATTTAAAGCTAAATTTTTTATAGATAATAGAAAAATTGAAGGTTTTTTTACTAATGAGATTCCTTAGTTCCTGCAGAAATTCAGTTACTACATCCCTCTCTTCTGCTTCCCAACATGATCCATTGTGATATATTATTAACTTTGTTTACCTGTACTCCCATTTAAGACCACACTATTACCACACAAGCCAAATCAAATTTAATGAGAAAGGCTTCAAAAAAAAAAAAATACTATCGAACATATCACAAAACTCAAGCTAGGTGACGCATCCTGACCTTCTTTAATATCCTAATGTAATGAGTCTATAAAACAGAGCAATCTCTTTCATGTCACTTAATTAATGATAACAATTTAAGCTTACACGAAGCTGTAGTGTTTGTTGAAACAAAATGATAGATACTCATAATACAAGTTGGGTTTTTATTTCTGACTGCTGAGTGCATTCTCAGGGAAAATGGAATAAGACATTATTGTGGCACTCTGTAGTTAGGAGGAAGCAGACAGGTAAAGATATGAGGTCAGAACACTTTGAGTCACTCTCCTGCTTTGCTTCAGCATCCTAGCCTGTGGAATAAGGATGCTAGTAACTGACTTGCCTGCTTTGAGTTTTCAGTGAGATGACACAAAAGAAGGCCTGTCAAAGAAAAATACCCTGTTGGGGCCAGTGCAGTGGCATAGTGGATAAAGCCGCTGCCTGCAGCACTGGCATCCCATTTGGCACTAGTTCAAGTCCTGGCTGCTCCACTTCCAATCCAGCTCCCTGCTAATGTGCCTGCATCCATGTGGGAGACCTGGAAGAAGCTGCTGGCTCCTAGCTTTGGATTGGCCCTCCTCCAGCCATTGCAGCTATTTAGGGAGTGAACCAACAGATGGAAGATATTGCTCTCTCCCCCACCTCTCTGTCTCTCTCTGTGTAACTCTGCCTTTCAAATAAATAAGTAAATCTTAAAAAAAAAAAAAAGAAGAATGCCCTGTTTATGCCAAGGGAACATTTTTAGCACAGTAGACATCTTAATGAAATATGGAACAAATAGTTGCATTGTTTGAAAAGCTATACTCCAGCTTCAGCGTACTTAGTGTGTTCCTGATGTGTCTCCATGTCAAGGCTATAGAAACCCTACCAACTCAACAGGTAGGGATGCACTATCTACTAACTTGAGGAAACAGAGGTGTACTTATCCATTTATTCATTAACAGTATCTTGAGTGCCTGGATTATGCTGACCACAGAAAGGGGGGCTTGGATACACTGGTAAATCCAGTGGGAATCCTGCCCTCAAGATGCTTAGTTACAAAGCCCAGACCTGTAGATGATGTAAGAGGTATAGCATCTAGCAGCAGAGGAGAGGACTTCATTGTGAAGAATAGAGAAATAACTCAGAAAGCTTCATGAAAGAAATCAAAGATTAAGAAGGCTTGCCTACGGCCATGCCACCATGAACACACCGATCTCGTCTGATCTCGGAAGCTAAGCAGGGTTGGGTCTGGTTAGTACTTGGATAGGAGAAAGCTTAAGCTTCAGGCATTCACAGTCACCCACTTGTATCTTCTACAGTAAAAGACTGGTGGCCGGCGCCGCGGCTCACTAGGCTAATCCTCCGCCTTGTGGCGCCGGCACACCGGGTTCTAGTCCTGGTCGGGGCGCTGGATTCTGTCCTGGTTGCCCCTCTTCCAGGCCAGCTCTCTGCTGTGGCCAGGGAGTGCAGTGGAGGATGGCCCAAGTGCTTGGGCCCTGCACCCCATGGGAGACCAGGAGAAGTACCTGGCTCCCGCCATCGGATCAGTGCGGTGCGCCAGCCGCAGCACGCTGGCCACGGCGGCCACTGCCATCGGATCAGTGCGGTGCGCCAGCCGCAGCACGCTGGCCACGGCGGCCATTGGAGGGTGAGCCAACGGCAAAGGAAGACCTTTCTCTCTGTCTCTCTCTCTCACTGTCCACTCTGCCTGTCAAAAAAAAAAAAAAAAAAAAAAAAAAAGACTGGCAACTGCTATAGTTCCAACCTAAGGACAGAGTCCCTGCATAGAAGACCCAAATAACCCTGTCCTCCCAATCTTATAAAAGGTGGGGGCAAAATTTTAGGTTCCTGGTCCCCCTCTTGACCCCTCCATTTCTTTCAGTAGAGAATCAGCTGGATGAGACAAGTCTTCATTTAGCTATGAGAGTCAATAGTCTCGCATTACTGCCACTTCTCAGCCAAGACAGCATGATGTTCTGCAGTGGTAGCTAAAGGGACTGTCATTGCCCCTAAGAAAAAATTCTGCCTGTAACGGCCCACATAGCCATGTGTACCAGTGTGTGCTCCTTGATTTTCTGTGTTTTTCTATTCCATACTGTTACAGAAAATACCATTTTGGACCTAAGAGAGCCAATTCATCTGCCTATGGTTAGGTTCTTCCCCAAATATTCCTTAGGTTTGAGCATCAAGTAAAAATCTCAGCAAGTAAGATAATGACAAAAGCTAGAAATGAAACATGTACATTTTTAGTTCCTATAGTATGGATGATTTGATTCTGGAGTGCTTACACCCATGTTTCTTTCCTTTACCTACCCCAAAATTCCTTTTGAGTGTTGAAAAAAAGACTTTAAACCAGCTCTTGGCCATTGCCCAATTGATAGTGCTTGGATTATTTAAACATTGTTTAAATGCCGTCCTGCAAGCTTTACTTCTTGGAACTCCTTTATGGAATAATGGAAAAGTAAGAAAGCTGACAAAGTTGTTTGGATATCATGGAGAAGTACAGAGTATGTGCTGCCTCCTCTATTGCATTAGGGACTCACAGAAGGGCTAGAGTTTCAGTTCGGATCTTATTAGTGCTACACCTGCCTGGGCTTTCTTTTGGTCTAATTTTCTTCTTGTGTAAGTATTCCAAATGATGTGGACATAGCCATGGAGAGTCCACCTGCCTGGCACCTATGATTGCTCTCCTTCCAAAGCAATAGGTGAATTTTCAAGAAATAAAGGCTGACAATCTAATAAGACAACACTTTAAACTCAACAAGGTACTGTTTTATTTTTAGGTCTCAGGAGGAATGGCAAAATGATCTCGCTGTGGTTCTCTAAGAGTGATGAACTGAATTGACCCTCTCTTAGCATCTTGTAACTCAGTACTCGGGCTTTAATCCCGTAGTATAAGAGAAACCCACTGTCATGCAGGCTCCTTCATAATATTTTTTAAATGAGCTGCTAAACTCTTATGTCTTGAGTCTATGTATGTTCTGAGAAAAATGTTATAAACTTAAAATGGAATTGAACAAGGTAAATAATTTAAAAATATTTTCCGCCTATCTGCACAATATTGAAAGCATTGAAGAATGGATAGGTGTTTAAAACAAATTCTGAAACGGTGGTAGCTCCTCTCCTTCCTTTTTCTGCTATAGTAAGCCTAGCTGAGCTGGAGAAAACAAGGTATACAATAAGTAATATACTAACAGTTTGAAAAAAGAAATTTTCTCCAAAATACTGTATATTTGAATCAGCTGCAATCTAATTATGTAAAATGAAATTGAATTATCTTCCAGACTAATCTCTGATAAATATACATCTCTCCATGTTTGAATTGTTTCATAAGAAAAATTTGTATTTCCCCACCAAGGGCCATAAGCAACAGTCCAAGCCCTGTTGAACTTTCAAGTTGAAACTCTTTTTCACATTAATACTGGTTGTCCTACACCCTTGTGTTTCAAAAGTCACGAATCTTTTTCACAAAAATGGAACTTCCCTTTATAATTCACATTAACAGAAAACGACAGGTAAATGGAAATCAAATATGCTTTTCTTGCTCTAATAACTGTGTGATATAATTTCAATTAATTTCTAACTCTTGCACAGATTTTTACACAGACCTTGGAGATCTTTGAAAGTAAGAGTTATATGAGTTTTGCAGTTTTTCTCTTACTTTTTGAACAATCTGTTTTGGGGACTGGCTGATTGGTGGAGCGGGTTGAACTGGCCTACAAAGCCAGCATCCTATATGAGCCCTGGTTCAAGTTCTGGCTGCTCTACTTCTGATCCAGCTCCCTGCTAATGTGTCTGAGAAAGCAGCAGAAGACAGCCCAAGTACCTGGGCCCCTGCTACGCACATGGGAGGCCCAGGTCAAGTTCCAGGCTCCTGGCTTCGGCCTGAGCCAGTATGGCTGTTGGAGCCATTTGAGGAGTAAACCTGCAGATGAACAAGCTCTCTTTCCCTCTCTCTTTGTAACTGTTTTTCAAATAAGTAAATAAAAATCTATTTTGGAATTACCACTGTCTGTGACAGAAATCTGAAAGACAGCTTTGAAATACATTTGAAACTTTGATAGAATAAAAGTTTTAAAAACTCAACATTTAAATGTCAGTGGGGATTTAAATACTGGATTCCAATTCAGATATGTAATTTGTGAATTAAATAGGATCAGTCACCATTTTACTAAACTACTCTTTCTGCTAGGTACCTCAGATTTTTCTCAAGATTCATTTATGCATTTTTTTCTATACCTTGATAGTTTAAATATTCTAACTGGCCCCTGTAGTTTATTAAATCTACTCATTTGCTAGTCCTGTGTAGATAGAGGACACAGCCTGATAAAAGGAATTAAGTAGAAGTTATATGCCAGATTAAGCTTTCTCTTGTATCTTCCACATTTTTATGGTTTTTTTTTTCCATTGAAAAATACAAAAAATCACAGAAGGAAAGGCTCACCCGTGAGCAGCCAGATTTTAAATGTGAAGAGTCCATCTGCCTCGCCTACCCAGAGGTGACGTTAGGAGCATGGGTGCCTCAATGATTGTGTCTGTGCAGAGATGTTTACACGCAGGCGTGCTTCTCTGACCACAGAGACATCGGGGTCTGAGGAAAACGGACTGGTCTGCGGGTCACTTTTCCCTGGGTAACTCTCCCAAGCAGTACCTCTCTATGCCTCATGGCTTTTAGTGGCTACATGAATTCCTAAAGGGGAATATGCTGACCCACAGGGTATGCATCTTTCACATTTAAATGTGTAAACAGTAAATGAACAGCAACAAACAATAAGCTTTCAGTAGTTGATTTCATACAAATTAAGATTTCATCAGTATCTTCAAAGCGCATAAAAGCTAAAGTCGTTTTGTAACTAGGATAACTAAGAAAGCAAATGCCCTCCACTGCTGTTTCACAATCTTTCTTCCCTCTTGTTTCCCTGCAGCTTCCCAGGAGGCTGACCTTTATAGACTGCATTCCCCAGTTTCCCTTGCTGCCTGGCTCTGATTGCATTCAGCCAACAGGAGGCTCTGGCAGGAAATCACAGGGAAGGAGGGACAACTTCCCAGGCCAAGTTTCAAGTATGCCTGGTTTCCTAAGGCACAGGTTTTTGTTGTTGTTGTTGTTGTTGTTGTTGTTGTTTTTTAAGATTATTTGTTTGAGGCAAAGTTACAGAGAGAGAGTGAGAGAGAGAGAGAGAGAGAGAGAGATCTTCCAATGGCCGGAGCTGGGCCGATCCTGAGCTAGGAGCTGCTTTCTGGTATCCTGGGCACTTAGATCAACTCTGCTGTTTTCCCAGGCCATTAGCAGAGAGCTGGATCGGAAGTGGAGCAGCCAGGATTCAAATTGGCGCCCATGTGGATGCTGGCACCACAGGTAGAGCCTCAACCCACTATACCGCACTGCCGGCTACAAAGCCACAGCTCTTGGAGGGTAGCCCTCTCCCTCCCCGTGTTATATCAACAGCACCCTCTTGACCTTCAGACCTAGGGACTCAGCAGTTTCCTGTAGCAACTACTCCCTGATGCAGCTCCTAGCTAATGCACCTGGAAGGCAACAGATGATGGCCTACGTGCCTGGGTTGCCCAGTACCCATTTGGGAGACCAGCTGGATTTACTGGCTTTTAGCTTCAGCCTGGCCCAGCCCTAGATGTTGTAGACATTTGGAGAGAATCAGTAGAAAAAGGTTCTCTCTCTCTCTCTCTCTCTCTCTCTCCCTTTCAAATAAATAAGTGAATCTTTTTAAAATAAGTTAATCTATTTTTTGAAAACCATGTCTGAAAATTCTTTGTGGCTTCTAACAATAGGGGTGGATGTCTGTGTCCTCTTAGTTGAATGTGGGTCAGTCTCTGACTTGCTTATAACCAACAGAAATGCAGTGAAACAGGTACGGTGGAACTTCTAAAGCTAGTTCTGGAAGGCTGGTGCCTGAATCTCTTGGCATGCTCGCCCACTGCACCTCTGCATGATCACGTGCTTTGGAGTTGCCACATTGTGAGAAAACCTGGGCACTACGTAGAGTCCCCACACTGGTGTTCTAGTTAAAAGCCCAACCACCAGCATGAACCACAGGCATGTGAGTGAAGCTTCCTCCAGCGGTAGTCTTCTAGGGGTAAGTCGCTCTGCAAATATGTCGTCTTTATTGTCCTGCACAGATCCCTACCCACAGAATCCATGAAGATACTAGAATTGCTCTTTCACATCACATTTTGGTGTGGTTTAAACAAGGCAATAATAATCAAAACACCAACTGTACTGAGTCACAGAAAACCTGGCTGAACCACATACTGCTGAATCCTGATATGTAGATGAAGACTCGCTTGGAGCTGGGTGATTGCTCAGAGAGGCTGCCTAGCATGGCACTGTGGTCAGACCATGGAGTGGAGATTCCGTGCTGGCAAGCTGCCTCCTGAGCCTGTTTCATTTTCTAATAAACAGGAAGTGTCAGGTTTTCTCATCCGGAATTCCAGTGTGGATTAAAATTGACATGCAAAACTGCACAATTTGGGCCAGCATCATGGCACAGTGGGCTAAGCCACCACCTGCTATGCCAACATCCCATATGGGTTCTGGTTCAAGTCCTGGCTGTTCCATTTCCAAGCCAGCTCCTTGCTAATGCAAATGGGAAAGCAGTAGAAAATGGCCCAAGTGCATGGGCCCCAGCCCCTTCGTGGGAAACCCAGATGGAGTCTCTCCTGCAGTCATTTGGGAGTGAACCAGCAGATGGAAGATCTTCCTCTCTGTTTCTCCCTCTCTCTACCCTTCAGATAAGTGAAGCTTTATTCAAAATCGCAGTACTGTAATTTTGTGAATCGATGTTCCCCGTCGTTTCACTTTCCAAATGAAGCTATATTGTCTTGTGAGTGACTTTCTTCCTTCCACAAAGCGGACTCGCCGTATACAGCTATGGACAGACACACCTGTACGAGTAGGTTAAATTATTAAATATAATTATAAAATAGAATGCCATGTAAAAACAAATAAAGGATTATTTAGTAGTGCCTTTAGCTGGAAAGTGGCATGGCCTACACAGCTAACTGGCATGAGTAAGATTGAATGAGCCATAATCATCAAAATGACTGAGAATTAAGAAAGAAAATTAATTCCCAGAGGAAATCACTGTAGGTCTCATTATTTCAGGAATGCAATACCTTAGGACTTTAATTAAAACTAATATTTATTCAAAATAAATGAGTGCTGGCAGGTTTCTGCCGAATCCATAATCTTGGTTATGCTAAATCTTCTTATATTAAGGCAGACATCATTAATCTCATTTGAGATGCCCTCCAGTCTGACAGCCCGCACAGCACTGGGGCAGTTTCTTGCAGAATCCTTTTTATCTTCACAAAAGAGTTATAACTCATGCAGATACCTAATGTATAAAGGTCTGGGCAATTAGAGACATCACTGTGAGATCGACACTGGCACTTTATCATGTTAGCAAGCCTCTCATAATGAGCTTGTTCTCAAAAGGAGGCCAAGATCTCAACATTACCATCCAATTAACGGTGGGTTATTTTATTATTTTATTTACTTATTTCTAGCAGTCTTTGTTCCAGAAAAGCATCAAGTGTTTTATCAAAATTCATAGGCTATGGCCAGATAAAGCAAATTTCAGTAAGTCAGTGAGAAAATGGAACAAAGGCAAGAAAGAGGGTAGAAGAGGTAAGAAGTTAGATGAAATAAGGTTAATATTCAAAATGCGTACTACAAAGGTCGGTAAAGATACACACACATCAAGTTTGCCAACTGATTGTTGGGTCCCACTGCAAGCTCTAAATAGTGACTAACCCTGAGAGCTTTGTTCTGTGCCTGTCCGGATCATTGTTGTGTTAGTTATTAATAGATACATATGCTAAGTTAAATAGTAGTCCCCCCCAAAAAATGCATGTCTACCTGTAACTCATAAATGTGACCTCATTTGGAAATAGGTCACAGATGCCCTCAAATTAAGAGGAAGTCATACCGGGTCAGGGTGGGCACCAAATCCAGTGACCGAGGCTCTTATCAGGAGAGGGAGCTCTGGCTTGTGAGTGAGGCCGGGAGGAGGCCGTGTGATGACAGAGGCGGAGACTGGCGTGACAGAGGGGCGCGCCCGGGAACACCGAGATTATCAGCAACCTCAAGAAGCTGCAAGCTGCAAGGACGGATTCTTCCCTGGAGGCCAGAGCCCTGCCACATCTTGACTGCAGACCTAGCTCAGGACTGTGTAGACGAGCATTTTGTTGTTCTAAGCTACCCAGGCTGTGACACTGTTGTGGCACTCTTAAGAAACTAATAAAGTGCTTACACATTTTTTTTTCTGAAGAACTAGGGTACAATATCCATGTAAATATAAAAGTATAAAGGGAAAATAAATCCTAAAAATATTATCTAGTAAGCTTTATGGCTGACACCTGTGACCGTGTAGCACTTTCTAACTGGTGACAAGTATCAAAACAAATGACTAATCTTACCAACTGTTTAGTTGAACAGATTCTTTTATGTGGACATACGGGTCTTCGATGTGTTATGTCAGGGATTACTATTATTACAGGCTAGTTTTGCCCACACTGGACAGGGAGGTCAGCGCCGGTAAACAACTTGAACGGCAAGCTCTTAGAGCAGACGCCACGATGATTGCAATCCACCTTGAGGCTGCCTACCGAGAAAGAACCGTCATACCCGGAACCTGGAAGACTTGTGCCAGCTTCCCGCAACCCAGACACAAAATTCACTCCTTATGAAAATATTCTGCAGAAATCAAAGTACAACCTCACGGCCCTGACATTTTCAAATATGCACCCCCCCACCCCGCCCCCGTGATGTGGTCCGTGGCTGGCGTCCACTCACAAAGCCTCACTGCTAGGAGTCGGCCCGTTTCTCGGGTCTCACGAGGCAGGGCTTGCTGTTACCAGAGTTCGGAGTTACATTCAGAAACCAATGTGTGGCTGCCACGGTGCTCCTGCGTCCCTTTCATGCCATGAGAACTCACACTCCCAGGAACCAGATCACAGGCTGGCAGCCTGCGGGCCACATTCAGCCCACAGGCTTGTTTTGTTTGGCCTGCTCAGGTATTTTGTTGTTAATTAATTGTTAATTTTTAAAAATTAGGAGATTTCATGTAAAATTGTGCATTACCAGTGGGCATGAATTTCTGCAGGGCAATCATCTGGAGCCCAGGGGTGACACTCCCTTTGCTGGAGGCAAGCTCCCTGTGGGGCCCCATGGCTGTGAGACACACTGCCGCCAGTGAGGGCGCTCTGGCTGGCTGCGTGACCTTGACCGCGGGCTTTCTCCTCTCCTCTTCCTTCTGGGCAAAAAGGGGCATAATAATAGTGCTTTTCTCATTAGGTTGTTTGGAGGATTAGGGGATTAAAACTTGTAAGGCTCTTAGAGCAGTGCCTGATGCACAGTAGAAACTAAATGTTATTTTTTTTTTTTTTTTTTTTTTTGACAGGCAGAGTGGACAGTGAGAGAGAGAGACAGAGAGAAAGGTCTTCCTTTGCCGTTGGTTCACCCTCCAATGGCCGCCGCGGCCGGTGCGCTGCGGCCGGCGCACCGCGCTGATCCGATGGCAGGAGCCAGGAGCCAGGTGCTTTTCCTGGTCTCCCATGGGGTGCAGGGCCCAAGCACCTGGGCCATCCTCCACTGCACTCCCTGGCCACAGCAGAGGGCTGGCCTGGAAGAGGGGCAACCGGGACAGAATCCGGCGCCCCGACCGGGACTAGAACCTGGTGTGCCGGCGCCGCTAGGCGGAGGATTAGCCTAGTGAGCCGCGGCGCCGGCCACTAAATGTTATTTTGATCGTTATTCATTCTTTTTCTAATCACGTTACCTGGCCTCCTTCCCTCACTTTTGTATCTGCTGGATTCCTACAGGTGTCTGTGTCTGGCTCCACCTCCACTTAAAGCCCCACCCTCAAATGGAGCCTAAAGGAGACAATTGGGCTCCCGTGTGTAAGGCCGTGGGGCCAGCAGGTATTACACCCACGGTGTTGAACAGCCTGGATTCTGGGCCAGACAGCCTAGGCTCCAAACTTGACTCTGCAACTTCCCAGAAATGCAGCATTAAGCAAGTCCCTTCCCTCTAACACCTGTACTTAATCCTATGAAACGACGGTGGAGCCGTTGTAAATGTGTGCCTACACCACAGTAGGTTTTGGCTTTTGTTGAAGAACACATAGCAGACCACACATTCTCTCGCCCACCAACAACATCAGACCTTGGTCTCCCATCATGTGGTTAGCGCCATCCAAGTGTGTCTTGGTGTCCCAAGGTGGAGGGTTAGATCTGAGAGAGATGAATATGAGAAAATCAGGTACAGCTTTTTTTCTTATTTTTATTTTCATTTTCTATTTTTTAAGATTTTAATTATTTTATTTTAAAGGTGAAGCTACAGAGAGGGAGAAACAGAGACTGAGAGATCGTCCATCTACTGGTTCACTCCCCAAATGGTTGCAATGGCTGAAGCTGGGCCGATCTGAAGCCAGGAACCAGAAGCTTCTTCTGGGTCTCCCATGCAGGTGCAGGGGCCCAAGCACTTTAGCCATCCTCCACTGCCTTCCCAGGCCATTAGCAGGGAACTGGGTGGGAAGTGGATGCCGGCACCGCAGGCAGAGGCTTAACTTACTGCACCATAGCACCAGCTCCTATTTTCATTTTCTTTGAAAAGCAGGGAGGTAGAGAGACAGAACACAAAGAGATATGTTGGTTCATTCTCCAAATGCCTGCAATATCCAAGGCTGAGTCAGGCCTAAGACAGAAACCAGAATTCAGTCAAGGTCTCCCAGGTGATGGCAGAAACTCAGGTATTTGAGCCATCACTGCTGCCTCCCAGGGTGGGCCTTACAAGCAAGCAGAGACCCAGGGACTCAGGTCAGGCACCCCATCTGGGACATCGGCATCCAAAGTGGTGACTTAACTACTGCACCACATGGCCGCCACCCCTCTTTGTCTTGTTACCCCAAAATATATGGCACGAATAGCTGTAAAACTTGCATGGCCTTCCACTGACTGTTACAGTCTTTCTGGCTTCTTGGAGTTAAAAACAATTATTGGTGGTGGGAGCAGATGTTCCTACCATTTCAAACAGGACTGGCGTCTGAGCATGTGACCAAGGGGTGGAGGCATTCCCGCTCCCTAATGCTCTCCAGATACTCCCTTGTGCCTACACAGACAGCTTGAACTCTTTCCAAATCTTATCAAGGACTAAAAATAACTTGAAGCAGCACTTTAGACAGCCACAGTAAGCCGCTTCTAAGAACAGGTGACCTCAACAGCATTTCCTAACAATGCTTTCTACGATTCAGCCTCTTTTCTGTTCTACAATTTCAAAACTTTCATTTTTTGAAAAGAACACATGTTGGAACCAGGCGTTTCTTCCATACCATATATCAAAGACACTGGCAATCAAAGGGTTGACAATATGAAATCCTCCTCATGAAACCATTGTCTGCTCAAAAAAGATGCCCCTGTCCCAGTGTGCCTGGGTTCAATACCTGGCTGCAGCTCCCGACTCCAGGTTCCTGCCAATGCAGACTGGGAGGCAGTGGCAATGACTCAGATAATCAAGGTGTCTGTCACCCACATTTGGATCATATTCTTGCCTCCCTGATCTGACCCCAGCTCAGCCTGGCTCTTGTAGGCATTTGGGAAGTGAACCAGTGGATGAGAGTATTCATTTCTCTATCTCTTTCTCTCTCTGTCTTCTCTCTGTATTTATATTTATTAACAACCTTTGGCTCAACCTGGTGTCTACAGCAAGTCCTGACTTCCTCTACTGTTTCCTAGTAGCCTCACCCTCTTCCATCACTGGAACAGAACATTCCTCTACTTCTCTCCTATAAATTTCAACTGCCACATGAATGCTAGGGCCTTCACTCCAAGTACTGCAGCCTGTACTTTTGGCTCCAAGAGCCTGCCTACAACATCTTCCCACAAAGGTCTCTTGGCAACTCCCCCAGCAAGGGGTATTTACTTGACATTTTCCTAAATAAAATGAGTCCATTATAATTTGTACAAAATTAACTCCCAGCTGTGAGTCCATGTGTCCACAGGAAAACAAGGCTTAAAGCAACTATGACTGCAGCAAGTCTGCTGCTTGGTCGTGGTTTTGTCCTCTCCTGGCCCTCACCTGCAATAATAGGCACCATAAAAGAGAATTTGACATAGGAAAAGTCTCTTTATGAACCTAAATTTCCTTTGCATTTTTACACCACTGGAGGAAAAAAAATTGCTCTAGAGATTGTGGTGCTCAAAGTGGGAGGGATGCTATTGACATTGAAGGCCAAGACAAGTCTTCATTGTGCCACACACAGCGAGATGTTCAATAACCTTGGCCTGACCCAGTAAGGGAATAAAGATGCCTTGAGAGAGGCAGCGTGGGTAGCAACCATCTACACCTTGGCATTGTCTCTGTGAGAAAGGAAACAGGGGGTCACTCCCTATGGAACTGGTGTCCAGAAGGTACATTAAATTCAGGTACAGGATAATAAAATTATATTTCTTGCACATGAGTTCGTGGGTGGAGCTTGGCACTCAGTAACTCATGTCTAGTGGAAAGAATCTAGGCTTGGGCATGGGAATGCCATGGACAGGTACATGCACACCTGCTAAGGTGGTACCCATCATGTCATACACATTGTAAACTTGTGGTTTTTTTTTTTAAGATTGATTTATTTATTTGAAAACAGAGTTACAGAGAAAGAGAGAGAGGGGGAGAGAGAGAAAGAGAGAGAGAGAATTTCCATCTGCTGGATCACTCCCCAGGTGGCTCGCCCGGGGATTCTTCCAGGTCTCCCATGTGGGTGGCAGGGCCCAAGTACTCAGGCCATCTTCCACTACTTTTCCAGGAACACTAGCAGGGAGCTGGATCAGAAGTGGAACAGCCAGGACATGAACCAGAGTCCTTATGGGATGTCACCATCACAGGTGGTGGCTTAACCCACTATGCCATGACACTGGCACCAACTTTGTGTGTATGTGTTTAAGATTTATTTACATATTTGAAAGTCAGAGCTACAGAGAGAGAGAGAGAGAGAATCTTCCATCTGTTGGTTCACTCCCCAAATGGCCTCAATGGCCAGGCTGAGCCAGGCTAAAGCCAGGAGCCAGGAGCTTCCTCGGGGTCTCCTACATGGGTGACAGGGCCCCAAATACTCGGGCCATCTTCCGCTGCTTTTCTCAGGCGCATTAGCAGGGATCTGGATGGTAAGTGGAACAGCCAAGACATGAACCGGCACCCATATGGGATGCCAGCATGCAGGCAGTGGCTTAACGCACTATGTCACAGCACCGGCCCCATCTCTCATGTGGTTTGTGAGATCACTTTTCCCACTACTGGAAGTATCCTTAAGAGACATGTTTTTCTGATTTGGGAAAAGAAGCCATGGGACTATTGGCCGGGGAGGTTGTTTGAAGACCTTTGAACCCCTGTTGTCCCGAGGTAAGCCCTGTCACTCTGCAGCTTCTCCCATCTTCCACAGCGGCGTGGAGCAAAGCTGCTGGAGGACTGAGAATACGGCTGACAGCAAGGACAATAGGCCTAAAAAGAAATGAATTGCATATGTCAGAGAAAATGGATGCATTGTACGCTTTTCTTCTTTTACTTTGAAAAAAGGAAGAAAGGCTGGCTGTGGGGTCCCGTCAGAGTCCCCAGCCTGCCTTACTTCAGGAGCCCCCCTTGTCTCAGTGACTTTTCTGCTGTGTCCCCTGGGTCTAAAGAAATACTGACTCGGTCTCTTGTTTCACACAGTAAGGTCCAAACAACTTAAGGTTATCTGTCCTAGAAACTCAGTAAGGAAAAAAAAAAAAAACTAAAAAAAATTGAAAGAAAAAATATTTAGGGCCCACAGTGTGGCCTCCCAGGTTAAGCCGCGGCCTGGAGTGCCAGCGCACCCTCTCAGGTGCCAGCTGGAGTCCCAGCTGTGCTGCTTCCCTTCCTGCTTCCTGTCGATGCACTTGGGAATCAGCAGAGGATAGCCTGAGGAGTTAGACTGGGCAGTGGACAGCAGATGGAAGATCTGTCTCTGTCCACCTCTCCACCTGTCTCTGTAATTCTGACTTTCAAATAAATAAATACATACATCTGGGGCCGGCGCTGTGGTACAGTGGGTTAACACCCTGGCCTGAAGCACCAGCATCCCATATGGGTGCTGGTTTGAGTCCTGGCTGCTCCATTTCTGATCCAGCTCTCTGCTATGGCCTGGGAAAGCAGTAGAAGATGGCCCAAGTCCTTGGGTCCCTGAACCCCTGTGGGAGACCTGAAACTCCTGGCTTCTGGCTTCGGATCGGTGCAGCTCCAGCTGTTGCGGCCAATTTGGGAATGAACCAGCAGATGGAAGACCTCTCTCTCTATGCCTCTCCTGCTCTCTCTGTGTAACTCTGACTTTCAAATAAATAATCTTAGAGAAAAAAAAAAAGAAACATAAGCTGTAGTGTGGTGAGAGGCAGCCCACCACACAGGGGGTTTCACAAGTGGTTCATTCAGTATTTTTTATGGGGCAGGAAAGTAATAAAGTGGTGAGAACATAGGCTTTGGACTAAAAGAGATTGGGGTTTGAATTGAGAAGACAACCATCACATTTGGGTGTGTCCATGAGGGTGTCTCCAAATGAGATTAACATGGGAGTCTGAGCAGATTAAGAGAGAAGACCCAGTCTCAGTGTGGGGAGGAACCACCAGTTGGCCAGGGGTATGGAAAGAACTACTACAGAAGGAAAACTCGTCTCTTGCTTTGAGAGCTGGGCCTCCTGCCGTGGCTGTCAGCTGCTGATCCTTGCACTCTAGGACTTACACCTGTGGCCCCCTTGCTGGCACTCAGGCTTTCAGCCTTGAACAGAGTTCTACCCTCAGTTTCCCTGGTTCTGAGTCCCTTGGATTTGACTGAGCCAAGCTACTGGCATCACAGGGTGTCTAGCCTGCAAGATGACCTGTTGTTGTGGGATTTCTCAGCTGCTGTAATGGGACGGCCAGTTTCCCTAATAATTCCCCCTTTGTGTGTCCCTGCACATATCCTAGAACCACAACACTCCTATCTAATCTGAAATTCACATCAAAGTCTCTCTGGCCTCAAATCTTTTTCCTCCATCAACATTAAAAAAAAAAAAAAACACTTGTTATTAGATCCATTCTGCTTTCAGAACCTCCAGGTAGCTCTCTGGCTGACCTGTGTTTGGATCAAAGCTTTTGTGTTTTAACAACATGAGTCCAGGAAGAATTCCCATAGAAACAAGAGAGGGACATTTCTCACAAGGTTATTTGCCCTTAGTTCAACTCTATTTTATTACTATCATTTATGATATAACTTATCTTAATTTAAGCCTTTTTAAGAAGTGTGCCTTGAAATTTATAAATTTTTTGGCCTTGAAATTTATAAATTCTCTAGTATGTATATTCTCTCTGAGTTTTATTCTGAGGCCAGAAAGAAAGAAAATATCCTACTCCCTGGAAGAGCTGTGCCATCTTATCTGAGGCTGCGAAGTCTGCCCTAACTCCTGCCACCCATTTCAGGGAAAGGAGCCTGCCAGAGAACTTGGATAGAGGTGGAGGGTAAAAGGTCCAAGGATTAAATTTCCAGCTCCCAAAATAACCTGTGAGTACTCCTGCCACCTCCAAATCAGGCCTTGCACGCTTCTGCACTCTGGCAGACTGCCACCTCTGTGGCCTGATCCCAGGGGCCCTGATGAGCCATGGGTGTGGTTGGCACTCCATCGACACAGGACAGCCGCCTAGAGAGGCCGGCAGGGCCGCTGAATTCAGAAAGGATGTGCAGACTACGCCTTCTCTCTGCTTATGCCATCACTGTTCTTCAGGCTCCCTTCTTCGGCCTCCTTCTCCACCCGACTCCAGGCTCCTGAAAGGCCCCAAGACAGTGTTTTCCAAAAGTCAGCAATTTGAGTGGCACGGTAGTGATATTCCATGCACACCGCTGTATCCAAACCTCACCTGTGCTGTTAGCTCACTTTTCCACTGAAATCATTGCAGACTAGTTAGTAATGTATAGCACTGCTTGAAGTTTAAAACTAGTTTCCTTGCCATAAATGTAGATTACTTTTTAAATATAATGAAAACAAAAATATATAGCAGTGGAATTTTAGATGGATGTGGCTCCTCCTGCAGACCTTTGTCTGAATCTTGCTGTTAGATTACGGAACGCTGGAAAGATGTTGAAGACATTTCAGCTCGAAAGTCAGACTTGATCCTTGAATCAGAGACATAGAAAGAGGGCCAAAAAGAGGGCGACATTCTCATTTATTTCTGAAGCCATGCCTGCCTATTACACGCTGGGAAGCACTGCTTGAATTTCAAACTCACAAAAGGCAAATAAACATGTGAAATCCTATAGGCTTCATCCTAATATCCTTCAAGAATGGAGTACACTATTTGTGAACTGTTCTCAAAAAGTTTTTGCACATCTTGGTCATTATTCGTGCACAGCTTTTGAACAACTACTGGGGAATGTTTCAGATACAGAACTAGTTCCTGCGTATCACAGAATATGGCAGGCCAAGGGGACTTTGGCTGTCCTCTAGGTGACCCTTCTGCATTTTTGTAGACTTGGGGGTCAGGGCCGAAGGCCATCTGCCCAAGGTCACAAAGAGGGTGGTCTTATGTTTTGCTTCCTGCAGCCCAGACAAGCTAGCCCGTCCCTCTGTAGGCTTGATGAAAAGTTGCCTTGCGAACCCAAAGCCAAACTCACCTCCACTGTGTTGATTGCGGTTGCCATGACAGCGGCGCATTGTTTCCCCCGCCTCGCTTTAGTGACGTCGGGGACCGCCGTCCAATAGGAAAGCAGCTCGGTGTCCACGCCCCGCCTTTCCCAGCGGGCACCGCCTTCGTGGCCGGGAGAGGAGCGTCGACGGTTCCTAGGAGGCAGGCTCCGGCCGCGGCCGCGGCGAGTTACACCGTTTTCCAACCAGTCCGCGCCCGCCGCAGCCGAGACAGCCAGAATGTTCAGGATGCTGAGCAGCGGCTTCGAGGATGATCCTTTCTTCTCGTGAGTGTCGGGGGTCAGGAGTCTGCGGCCGCACGGGAGTTCAGGGATCCTGAGGGGGCGGTATTTTGAAGGAATAGAGCGAGTTGTAGAGGGCGACAGGGACTTCGGGTGACTGGGGAGGCAGTTAGAGGGGGAGGAGGATTTGGGGGCGAGGAGGGCGGAGGTCCGAGCTCATACACACACCCGCGGTGCCGGCAGCCCTCGGCTGACTCTGGAGCGCCGCTGGCTTCCCGCGTTCCGAGGCCGCCGTCGCAGCCGCCGGGCGCTGCCACAGGTGGCTGGAGCTGCCCGGGAGGGCCCTGTCCACTGCCGATTTAATCCCAAATCGGGCCGGGGGATATCGTATCGGCTGACAGTCCCGTGGAATGGAAAACGTGTTTCAGACCCCTTTTTAATGTGAAGAGGGGTGTGTCCATGACAGCACCGCAGAGTCGGAGAGTTGGGCTGGGGGTTGCCCCGTGCGCTGTTAACTTACTGGGCTTGCTTGGTTGACAAAGCTAGCCTTGTTTGCAACGCGACAGCACAAGGCCGGGAAACAGAGACGGGGTGCCTGTAGCACCCCAGGGAGACAAGTGCCACTGCCCCATGAACAGATCCCAGTGAAGTCTTGCGATGCCCTAGTAAGACGGCGAACAGACACCGGTTTCAGCGATCTAGTTTCCTGTTGTTTTTTTTCTTTATTAAAAAAGTATTTCTCTTTTGGCCATTATATAAAGGTAATAGAATAATCCAGTTGGATCCCCCAAGACAGGACTCTTTGGAATACTTTTTTGCCTAAGAGTTTTGCCAGTTTGAATTTTGACTTGGGTATTCCAATTTATTTTGAGCCCTTAGAATTCTCTGTGCAATTTGGGGACCTTTTTTTTTTTAATTTATTTTTTATTTATATAAAGGGAACAAATTTCATGTGTTTCAAATATACCGTTTTAAGAGCTTCATACTTCCTACCCTACCCGCACTCCCGTCCACTCTCTTCATTTTTCTTTTAATTTTTACAATGACATACTCTCAATTTACTATATAGTCACAAGCTTACCCCGCCACTAAACAAACAAGTAGTAAGTAGAAAAACCACTGTTCCTCAAGCGTATAGACCAGTGCTATAAGCAATAGCAGATCTCAAAATGTCAATTTCACTTATATACATTACATTTTTTGTACCCTGAATATCAGTTACTACAAGTCAGGGAAAACGTGTTTATCTTTTTGAGACTGGCTTATTTAACTAAGCATAATGAGGAATAAATGTTTATTCTGCAGTTTACGGCACAGATTTTTTGTTTGTTTTTAAAGAAAAATGTTACCTTGGTTTAACGATATAAATATGAATTCAAAACCGAAATTCAGTGTTATGATTTTCCTCTTTTAAAAGCCTTTGAGAGTGGGGACTAAATATATCCGTAGACAAGTTGAGCTCTTGAAGTTGTTCTTATGTAGATGTGACATGAGTACAGTGGATAACAATTAAGACCATTATGACATACAATTTTTGAGTTGTGTTATATCCTTGATTATATCAAAAGGAGCAGTGGCCTGAAGTAAACTGTGAATATGCAATTAGTATCTTCTTTAAAATGTCTAGCAGAAGTGTAATTTAAACTCTTGGGTGACTCTTTCTGAGTAAAGGTAATGAACCTAAGAGTCAGGGTCAGAAATAGTAACAGACCACAAATAGTAGTCATACATCAAAGAGCACTCTGCTTGGGAGGGAAAAGCTCAGCAGTTTCATCAGTCTCTCAGTCATCACTGCTTGTAACCTTCTGCAGACAGCAGCCAAGCCATAGAAATGTAAGATCATTTTATCTTAATTCACTTTAATAAACTGATTCATGTTTACTAATTTCTTTCTTCACAATTAATTGTAAATAAACACGTGGGGGTAAGGGAGGAAGAGTGTGAGTTTGTAGTTATTTCGGGTTTCTGTCATCTGACCCACACCTTTCACCCCAACTCCAAACAAAATGTCCATATTTAATAGAAGTGAAATGTAAGGAATTCATAAAGATGACAACAAACTGGTTAAATTATCCACACACTTTAGGGGCCTAGAAGGGGAGTGGGACAGTTAGTCCATGCCTGCCATCTTTTATATAAACATTGTCCCTGTTGCTAATACTGTATCTGATCATTGGGTTCCACATGGGTAGTTTAACATAGAAAGAATTCAATAAATATTGTTTAATGATGATCTGGTGTCCTTTACTTCCTCTCTTATAGTTAGTTTGCCATTTGGTTGATAGCCGAAAGTATCATCTGCATTCACAAAATGCCATTGTTGACATTGACATTTTCCAATTAGAACATTACCATTTTCTTTCTTTTTAAGATTTATTTATTTGAAAGGCAGAGTTACAGAGAGGTAGAGGCGCAGAGAGAGGTCTTCCATCCGCTGGTTCACTCCGCAAATGATGGCAATGGCTGGAGCTGAGCCAGTTTGAAGCTGGAAGCCAGAGGCTTCTTCTGGGTCTCCCACGTGGGTTCAGGAGCCCAAGAACTTGGGCCATCTTGTGCTGCTTTCCCACGCCATAGCAGAGAGCTGGATCAGAACTGGAGCAGCCAGAGCACGAACTGACACTCATATGGGATGCTGGCACTACAGGCAGCAGCTTTACCCACTACGCCATAGTACCAGCCCTTGAACATTACAATTTTCTAAATAACCCATGAGATCACAATCAAGCATAATCAATATAAACACACTGTACTAATTTACCAGTTATTAGAAAGTAGACAGACAAAAGTATATACTTCTTGGATATAAAATTAGAATTATTAATTTGACACTGATAAACCATAGTCAAATTGTTAAATGCTTAAAAATTTTAACTTAAGTCTGGCGCTGTGGCTCACTAGGCTAATCCTCCGCCTGCGGCGCCGGCACACCGGGTTCTAGTCCCAGTCGGGGCGCCGGATTCTGTCCCGGTTGCTCCTCTTCCAGTCCAGCTCTCTGCTGTGGCCAGGGAAGGGGTGGAGGATGGCCCAGGTCCTTGGGCCCTGCACCCGCATGGGAGACCAGGAAGAAGCACCTGGCTCCTGGCTTCACATCGGCACAATGTGCCGGCCACAACGTGCCGGCAGCCGCAGCGGCCACTTGGGGGGTGAACCAAAGGAAAAAGGAAGACCTTTCTCTCTCTCTCTCTCTCTGTGTCTCTCTCACTGTCTAACTCTGCCTGTCAAAAAATTTTAAAAAATAAAAAAATTTTCAACTTAAAAAATGATTAAAATTTGTAGAATTCAAATATACTCTTGTTTCAGAGTTTACCTTCTAAGTGCATGTTAAATATTTCATTGGAAAACTAAATGAAACTAAAAGTTGTATTTTAAAATTTCATTTGATAAAAAATGTGTGTAATATTTAAAAAAATTTTGGTATCTTATGTCTCTGAGCTGAAGTTATTTCAATGAAAATTTGTAATACAGTATATTTAGGCATACCTTCCTAAGTAATACTTGTAACTTGATTAAAAACAAAGCTTAAAAGTTGACACTTTTTGGCATGAGTTTTCTCAAGAATACTACTTCCTCACATTTGTATTTGCTGAAGAGTATATGAAAGGGATGGGCATGTAGCACAGCAGTTAAGATGACACCTGGGACACCCAAATACTATATCACAGTGGCTGAGTTCCAGTCCTGACTCCGATCCCAATTCCCGCTTCCTGCTCATCTGTACCGTGGGAGGCAGTGGTGATGGCTTATGTAGTTGAATCTCTGCCAGCCTACATGATTGAGTTCCTGGCTACTGCCTTGGTCCAGCTGCAGCTGTTTCTGGTATTTGGGGAGTAAACCAGCAGATGGAAGATCTGCTTGTGTATGTTTGTGTCTGCATATGTGTGCGTGTGTACCCATGCTCCTCTCTGCCTTAAATACATAAAATAAAAATTGAAAAGTATATTTATAGTTAAGTAGGTGTGTTTAGACAGGACAATTAACTTGAGGTTAAAATGATTTTGGTAACTATACCAAACATTGAATTTTTAGTATAAAAGATAAATCTAATAAGATCCAGAATTTTCTACTTGGCACTAAAACTCTGAGTCTTCTGAGCTATAGGAAAGAAATTCTGATCAGGCAAATCTACAAAGAATACCTATGTTACTACTTATCAGCTGTGAGTAATTAAAGACTTAGAACAGGCTGAAAAATCTTTGCCTTATTTTTAATCACCAATTATGTTTTCCTTAAACCACTTACCACCTCATGTGTATGTCATATGTGTGATGATTAGTCGTCGGTCAAAGTAACTACATATAAAGGCACTTCAAAGTTTGTGGAAAATGGAATTGAGAGATAAGATAAATTTTGAAATTCATGCATAGTTTTTTCATAATCGTGTTTTCCATGACCTTTTGACGACTGCTTTTATATTCACAGTATGTTACCACTTCCATCTCCTTGCTGTCAGTTGGAGCTAAAACTTACTACATTTCCATAGTCTCTATTTTAACACTTTTTAACAAATATTTATTCTGTACTTAGGAATTAGTTGGCTATTAAAGGATATTGCCTTGACCTGGTCACTGAGTTGAGTGAATAAATTCCATGTACAAGGCATGCTTCAATTGTTTTCTTGATTGAGAACGTTCTGACAGCAGGAAATAAGAGAGTGGAATCTTAATCAAGGTATCATAGTTTATTTCTAATTAGTGTTCCACATATACCTCTCATCCTAAGCACTTAATAAAGGTAAGTTGAGAATATTCAGCTAAAATTTAAGGTAATTGATTTTTTAAGGTCCTACTCTGTTAAGACCTCCCCCATAGCTATTTTTAGCTCCTATTGTACTTTTCTCAAATATTTTACTATACAAATTTCTTGTCAATGAATTTTGTAAATTTTAAGATGTCTGATAGAATGAAGCTCTAAAATCCTTGAATTGAAAATTTTTCTAAGGTAGACTATTCATTTGGGGTATTCTTCAGTTTGTTGGGTAAAAACTGCTAAGTTAGGAGCCAAGAAGCACAACCTGACTATGGCAACTATAGTTAGTTACTGGCTAAAAGAATACTATTTGGTGGTCTCCACTTGCATAATAATGCCTAATTCTATCAATGCACAGTGTAGATATACACAGAAAAGGAGAGAAATAATTACAGGATGGCAAGAGGGCATAGCCATTCCTACAACCCTCTTCAAGGGCTTCTAAAACACCAACATTCTAAACTATGCTTCTAGACCTCAGAAAAACAGAATTGCCTTATTGAAATTTGGTTCATTCCTTAAGTACTTTATAGATTTCTATTATATATACAGGCCCAACTATGTGGAGCCTATTATAAATTTGTAGAAGTCATGACCCAAGACCTCAAGAGTCTTTTTTGAATGTTAC